CCGGAAGAAGACGCGAATATGCGTCGAAACGCGTAGGAGAAGAAGTAAACACTTGTTTTATTCAATATAACCGGCCAAAAAGCTCCAAACCCAATATCATTGAATTTTTAACCTTGGCCCACGGAAAATAATTTCCAAGGATATTCAAGGATAAAGTTTTCAAAGGATATTTTCAATACTTATTCGTCCTTGCACCAAAAAATTATTATTTTTTCCATTCTACAGAATTTTTCCTTATAACTTATACCCATATTGTTATTCTACAATGCACCGAATCTTTTGAATAATTTTTTTTTCAATCATATTCTAGAGATTTCAAAGTCCTTAAAAAAAGAGAAAAAGCTAAAAACGCAGTTTTACTATATTTTGGCCCCAGTTTTGTGGATATATCGATTTTTTCGTATGTAAATAAATATAAAAAATATAAAAGTTAAACTTTAACCTCTTTTATTGGCTTTAGTTTTTATTTGCCCCAAATAATCTTGGTTGAAATCAGCATGAAAAGTTCTATTTAGCTACGTTTTTTATTTCTTTTTGGCTAAACGGTTGATATTCTACACCACGGCTACTTCGGACTATTTCTGTCTCAATCCTAGAGTACGGGAACAGGCTAAATGTAAATAAGAAAAAGTAAACAAACAAATGTCACATTAAACTCTGAGTTTATTAAACACCCCAATTAGAACACTTGACAGTTGTTTATAAAGTCAAAACGTTAAACTCGAGTTAAAATTTCAACGTGAACATGGTATTACTTTTAAAAAATAATTTCATTCAAATGTTGGCCGCGACTAAATATGCTGTGTTATTTGAAACTCTTAAGAGCTGCGTGAAGAAAGAGAACAAGGCAGTTAGCAAGGTTCTACGCTCAACCTTCCAACGTAATTATTAGTTAAGCTTGTAATGCACCATGTATTCAATAGCCCAATAGCATTGATGTGGTTAACGGCTAGTCCATCTCCCCCGCAAAAAATACCCTTATCCAACAGTCACACATATATATCTTTTTTTTTAATTCGCAATGCTGTCACAATTACAATACAAATTGAATTTTTTTTTGATTTCTTACTCTGTGTAGGTACAATAAAAACAACCAGGCGTTAAATACATCGGCGAAAATCTTCAATTTTGAAAGATGTTGCAGCCGCCCTGTAGAGGCGGGTTATTGCAGCTTCAGACGCACATGCAGCAGCAGGAGTCAAAAGTTTCCAGACGAGAACCGTCAAATTTTCTGTTGCCAAAGCTTACCGTAGCACAACGGTATCGAGACTTATGTACCACAAGAAGAACTATAACAGCCAGAAATGTGTTATTTCTAATAGTCGGCGCGCTGCTAGCGCTACCAGCAGTACTAACACAAACCTCTCCTTCAGGTAAATGCTAAACGTAATCTTATGTGTATATAAAAAAAATTAATGTACATATGTATTACCGATAGATTTGTTTAATAAATATCTCGCTTTCATTGAATTTGTTTTTTTATTTGGTTTAGAATTTTTCAGAAACTTTGCAAAATTTTTATAATTTTGCTCAAAGTATGAAATTTTGATTTAAAAATTATATCTGCAAAGCTGCATCTAAGTTTTCAACTTTTTAATCAGATTTTCCAGAATTTTTTTGAGTATGTAGTTTTATAGCCCATTAAATTCTAGTATGTACATTAAAGTGCATGTTTTAAGTTGCTAAAAAATCGCAATGATAATATTTTTTCTGACCGCATTACGCCTTTTTCATTCAAAACAAAATGTCGAATATAGTTTGTTTGGAAGAAAAATGTCCCAACATCAACGCGATTCTTTAGCAACATCAAACTTGTAATGTAATGTTAATGTTTTGGGTGTAACAGAAAGGGACACCGCGACCTAGAAGATCTTTTGTATACCTATGATGGTTTCTAACGCAGACGGCCAAGATGTTATTAGCCTCCTTTACAAATGCTTAAAGTTGCTTGGTAGATGAGTTCCTAACCCCAAGGGCATCGACTGTGAAAGAACGGAAGCATTGCAGTCTTAGCCTGACCAATGCCAGACAATCACACATAGGCGGACTTCCAAAACGTCAATTGCTTTGCATACGTACAAAGTATAAGGTTCCATAACGTCTAACTGCAAAATATTGACAATGTATATTGTTCCAAAACGCAGCCGAAAAGTTATCGAAACGCATCGCTCGAGCAATCAGCGCATCAGAAACAAAGTTGATGCTTCGTTTGTTATTGGTTAGCATTGGTGTTTTAGAAATGGAAAATTCAGAAAAATTGGTCATTGCTATATTGAATATTTAAAATATGCAATGTATATGATTGCAATGTGTTAGAACTCTGCATATACAAACACTTTGAATACCGCAGTATAACAGTTTCCAAATATTGTATTGATACGTTTTGGAAGTCAGCCATAATGTGCTCTGACGTCGCCTCGTCTTCAAGGGAAAGACGGCAGTCCGTCTCTGTGAAAATACCAATCCGGGACATAAAACAGCGCGGGTGAGTTTACCCACGGATCTATTTTAAGCCTCGAGGAGGACCAGCTGAGTCCGGAAAATGGTTCCGGCTCCATAAGAACGGACGATGAGCCTTCCCTTGCCAATTCATTGGCGACCTCGTTCCCCACGATCCCGCAGTGTCCTGATACCCAGCGTAGTAATACCGTGTTCCTTGCTGACAAGAGTTTAATAATGTCAAAGCACTCCTTGACGAGCCTGGAGGCGATCTTCCAATTAGAGAGGGCCTTTATCGTCGCCTGGCTATCTAAAAATATAACTAGAAACGCGCCTTTTAAACCCTTCTCAAGGTTCAGTATGGCACAAATTGAGATGGCTAGTACCTCGGCCTGAAAAACCGTGGCCCAAGTGGCACCCGCCCCTGCTCTACCTCCATATTGATCCGTCTGTGTACCAGTACACATATTTGGGAACTAGTTCTGGTAAAGCATTTGACAAGACATCTGGGTCTGAAGTTTTGACCTGAAATTTCCTTCCATAACAGGTATCCTTTTGATTTAACTTTGTTTGTGTTCGGGTTTACAACCAAATATATCAGAAAAAAGCCTTTTATATTTTTATGCCGACATTTCAACCTTTTTATTGTAGATTTCTTCAGGGCTCAATGACAATAAAGCAAAGAAAAAAACATAACTTGTTAGGTCCGCAATCAAACAAAAGCTTAAATAAATAATATTATTTATATTAAATTACATGTCGATGCACCCGCTAATCGAGAAGATTAGCACCGACAAGGGTTGCTAATCGAATATTCAGTCTCAGCGATAACAAATTATCATGCAGACTCATTAATCGCTATCACGCCATAAACAACAATAACAATCACTGCAAACCGCTGCTAAAAAACTCACAATATCGTATTTTCCATATGCAACCCAAAGAATTACGCGAAAATTCAAAGAGTACACTGACAACATTCGGTTTACATTCATGAACAAAAACAACGTTGGACAAATATTTAATTAAATGGAAGATCTATTCCAACCAAAAAAGAGAAGAATGTCGTTTATCAAGTTAATTGCGCCGATTGCCAGCGAGAGAGAAACTACATAGGCACCACTTCACAACAGTTATACAAGCGATTAAATCAGCAAAGCAAAGGTGTTGAGAACCAAAGAACTGAAAAAAGGGCTATTACTTTTTGTCACAAATTTGACTCTGATGGAGCCAAAATATTAGAAAGAGAAAGAAATTGGGAGAAGAGAATGTTACTAGAAGAAATACTCAAGCAGCTGCGATTTTTAGTGAGATACTTTTTGACTTAAATTCTATTATTTATTTATACTTTTTTGATTTCGGACCTAAAAAGTTATGTTTATTTATTTGCTTTATTGTCATTAGGCCCTGGAAGACCAGAATAAAAAGATCGAAACGTTGGCATGAAAAAAAATGTTTTTTTTCTGATTTATTTGACTGTAAACCCGAAAACAAACAAACTTAAATAAACAGAAAACAGTCGGTAGAACAAACATCAACAGGTTTCCTTTGACTTAGCGTCGGAACACTCGCAGATTTTGCGTATTGTGTCTTGTTTTTAAAAGTTCTGTCACAATATTGCATCTGCAAATTCCTCGAAGCTGCTGCTGCCTGAACAAAAATGTGGAGTGGGTTCCAGCCACGTCTGGACATGTTCTCATTGCTCCTGTCACCGACAGAAGAGCCATCTTTTGGAGTTTGTTCAGAGGCGAAACGGCAAGCGTTTTTGGCCACCAGACTATAGAGGCATAAGCTACAATTGGACGGACTATAGTTCGTTATGTATGTATGTATGTATTGCTGCGCTCCTATTACATACGAAAAAACTTGTTTGTAGAAAAAAACTTTTACCGAAATGAGTTTGAATGATTTCAATGTTTTCCACTCATTCATTCACATTCTTCCATTTGAAGGTAGTAAATTTAAATGTAAATATTCATAACTTACAAAATTCCAAACGCTGAGTGTTTTGTATGTGAAGTAAAACATTCAAATCTACTGTACTCTGTTTGGCTAAAAGTTTGAATGAATTCATGCAGCCCTCTAATGCCTTTCTCCAATTATACGGTATGTATTCACATGGACAACTTGCCCTCAATAAACAGACGAGCCGATCGATGATAGCATCAATTAATCTCTGAGTTGGTGCTGGATATAAGCCAACTCCGACTGCAGCTTTGAAAATTTCAAAGGACTCTACCGCCCACAGTACATTGTCCCTGTCAAAGATGGAGCCAGACCTGCTGAGACTTCTAACCTTGGAGAATATATAAGACATAGGTCAGTTGGTTGGTTGTAGTGCCTCCCAAGTTGTCCTCAGGAATCAATTAGCGCATAGCCGCACCATTTTGTTTCACTTCTCGCGGACAATTTTATTCTACCGTAGCCTACCTGTCAAGCATTTGCGCAGTTCAAACAAACCACTTTGCCCCGCTTATAAATTTGTGCATATCGCTTATTGTAGCCCTAGATGAATCCACTAGCTGCCGAATTGTGTGTTTCCCGAAAGCTTTATGCCTTGAGGAAGCCAGCGCTGGGCGTTCAAACAAGATATAGAACACTGTTTCCTCGCTTCCCTCTATCCGGCAGCTGCGGCATGTATCGTTGTATGGGAGTCCTATATAGGCGTGCTTTACCAGCGGCCAGTGGCCGGTGATAGTCGCTACAATCCTAAATACATCTACCCTTGGCTCTGCTGTTCTTTTCCTGCAATAGTCACGCCAAAGCTCACGTGCTATCTTGCAAGTCTGAATCTCTGACCACCTCCTCCTTGCCAGTTTCAGAAAATGTAAGTGTACCTCTGCTTGTACTTGTCTAAGGGGGTAGCCCAGTAGCACCGCTACCGATTCATCCAAACAAGCTCCCGCCTCGGCCAATTCGTCTGCTCTCTCGTTACCTTCTATATTCCTATGGCCGGGAACCAGGGATGAAAAAATAGGTACAATTGTACCTTTTTCCGACGTTGGATGACTTAAAGGTACATTAGGTACAGTCAGTGGATTTTAGGTACAATTATTATTATTGACCCATATTCGCTTTTTGATTTCTGGAAATATATTTAAAATGCTTTCGAAGATACTTACGGCAATTTGATTATTTTCTCTAGACTTGTTGCACCTATCAAAAGGAATCGGATAAATTAGCAGACTTTTCGTGTTGTTGCTGGATAAAGAAGTATACTTCGCAAAGTATGTTTTTTGTCTTTTTCGCCAATATCTTTCAGTAGTCAAGATTTGACAAAACCAACACCAATAGTCTATAGATATAGGCTCAGTTAAAAAAACAAAAACCTAATCATGTTTAAAGTACATCCATCCTTTGTATTCATGTTTTAAATAAAATTTATAAAAAAAACTACAAATGAATGATGTAACTTTTTTTAGGTACAATCTGTCTCATTTAGGTACATTTATTTTATGATATTAAGTACAATATGAAATTTCCATTTTTCATCCCTGCCGGGAACCCAGACAAGAGAGCTAGACATTGACTGGGATGCTAAGCGTAGCTCCATCTTGCATTCTTTGACTAGCTTAGACTTGGTATCAGGAGACGATATAGCTAGCAGAGCCTGGTGGCCTGAGTAAATCACTGCTTTTACTTTTCTAGTAGCACTATTAATTTGCAACCTACAGGCCTCACATATGCCAAGGACTTCGGCCTGAAATATGCTAGCATTGGTTCGCCAGCCGCAGGGACAGATTGGCACCAAGCTCCTCGGAATATACTACTGCCCCCACACCGCAGTCCATCTTCGATACGTCTGTGTAGATTCAGACAGCTTCCTTATCATCTGCTTGGCCCCTTCTCCATTCCTTTCTGGATGGAAACCGTACCACCACATTCAATCCAAATTCCTGGCTTGATACCATGTAGTCCGTGGTTTTATTTTCTA